ATACGATAAGTAATTAAGGAAGGAAGGAAGTAGATAATAGAAGAAAGTGTGGCGAAGTTCAACATCTTGTAAAGCGTCCAGTGCTGGACTTGAGGACAAAAATGTGTAGAGGGTGTAAACAGTAAACAAGGAGGCTTGGCAATCAGTCATGTGCTGCAAAGACGAATGTAATAAAAAGCACAATAGCCATTGGTTGGGGCGGAGCTTATAGGAGAATCATACACTTTTATATCAGTTGGCCGAAAGAGAGTAAATTAACAACAACAATAAAAAATTAAGTATATAACTAGAATTAAAGATTAAGATGTAATAAAGATGCTACCTAAAGGTCGTTTTCTATTGAGAGCATGTGTAATATCATAGTCCATGAACGGGATAGATTCGTTGTTAATAAGACTAATCTTACTGAAAACGTTTTTAGCTATTTTTGCTGTGAATGCACTGCTGAACTGAACATTTAGTTCATCGTGAATAACAGAATTTCTAACAAACCATCTGCGTTTGGTTATTTTCTCAAAGTGACATTCTGAAAAGTCTGCAATCTGTTAAATTGAGTGTTACTAAGAAAACTCCAGATAGGACAGGCGTAGGTGATGATGGGCTGCAACATAATCTTATACAGGTGTAACTTGCTATCAAGTGAGAGACCGGAGTTTCAGAAAATTAAGCGGAAGAGTGATATTTGAAAAGCCTAAAATTTGTTAATAATATATGTCCTGTGGGGGATCTATTTATATAAGTCTTTAGTCTAATATAACGCCCAAGTATTTTACTTGCTTGGTTCACGGGATCATGATACTGTACATGTTGATGCTCACATTGGTATTTCTTTCTCTGGTGTATGTATAAGTTCATGTAGTGACTGTGTGACAGAACGCAGAGACGCATTTTGTGCTAGAATCGCAGTTTCGTCTGCACATATGGCTAGTGCAGTATTAGGTGATTGTGGTATATTGTTGGCATAAAGTGAAAAGAAGAGAGGGCCAAAGAGCGAACCTTGTGGGACGCTCGCAAGGACTTTTCTGCGTGTAGAATATGTGTTATTATAGCGAGCGACGAAGTATCTATCGTAAAGTAGGAATTAATTATGTTAATGATATAATCTGGGAACCCTAGAGTAATTAGATTGTAGGTAAGCCCCAGCAGCCATACGCGATGAAAGGCTTCAAAAGCTTCGATATATCGATATTCTATATATCGAGAATCCACTGGTTTTCGTGATTTCGAAATCCTTGTGCAAAAAATTCCATCACCCTATTCGGTCTTATAAATTTGGTGGTTTGTGGAGAACCATTCTGAACCCAGGCTGATATGGGATAAGGATTGGGTTGTCATCGATGAAGCTATTGACACGAAGAAAAATAACTACTTCAGCGATTATGCTGAGCGTGGCTAGTAAGCTAATCGGACTATGCAACTGGTCAGCTGGTTTCTTTCGAGACATCAGAATCGAAATAATGATGATAATCTTCCAGCTGGTCGGGAAATTTGAAGCTCGATCATAAGGTTGATAATTTTAGTAAACTTTAGTTTGATCCAGTCCCGGAGTTTTGCTGTTTTTTTTCTATTTTCGATACACTTAATCTCCTCGGAGGGCGGGAGTACAGAGATATTGTTAATGTGTGTTCTTGAGAAAAACTGTGTATTGCGTAATGACACTGTGGGTGAGGTATGTTGTGAGTACAAAAGAGATCCGTAGTGATCTGCCAGAGACTCAGTTTCCTCAATTTTGGTATAGGCAATCCCGCCGGGACCATTAAGGGGTGTAATATTTGTATTTCATCTTTTACACTTAGAAACAGCATTCCAGACAGAACTACCATCCGCTGAAAGTAACTATAAGCATCTGGTCCAGTACCCAGTTGTGCTTGTTCTTTGATAAGGATCCTGACTTCATGGTTGAGTGTATTCATGATTATTCTGTCCTGCGAAAAACGTGGTCTTTGCCAGTTTTCCAAATATGGTTTCTTTTTTAATCAGTTTTCTTATGGCAGGACTTTTATATCGTTTTCCTTCTGCAGTTTCCTTGCTGTTTCCGATGAGTGTTAAGTTCTTTGGTCAAATCCTCTAACTCATTCCTCGTATGTATGTGTGGGTAAATATACTACGTGTTGTCTAGAACTTTGGCATATCCTGCCCAGTTAGTGATAAGGGCTGTTTTATCTGGTGTACCGTAGCTATTAATGCTGATCTCCGCCATAACCAGATTATGATCCCAAGAAAGTTCATTCATGCTCTCAATATGAGTCAGAGCTTTAATATTTTTGAAAAGAAAGAAATCAATAACAGCCGGTCTGTCTACGCTACAGTATGTTGGTTTATCCGGAGCTTGCAATTAATACATTGGCCAATTGGCGAAGTTTGTATATTGTTCTATCATAGTTGTTTGAACTGCAGTTCCATACGCGATGGTATGCATTAAAATCTCCACTTAGAATAACTCGATTGCTAGTGTTGAGAAATGTGTGTAAATCAGAATGCATGTCTGCTACTGGTTTAATGTTTGGTGTATAGGTGCAAATGAAAGTGATTTGTCGAAATGAGTTGCTTGTGATTGTGATGGCTAGGGCTTCGACAGCTGAGAGCTGTGTAAGTGTTGTGAGATAATGAGAAATGGAGCGTTTGACTAGAATATAAACTCCACCTCGAGCGTTTCCCCGAGTACATATCTGCCTTCAGTACGTCTATCTAACTTATGCTTGACATAGTTACAGGCTCTAAAATCGTTGCGCAGACAAAGCATGTTTTCCTGTATGAAAGCTAATCAAGACTATACTCATGTAAAAATTCCTTGAGCTCATATGCTCTACGTATAAGACCATTTGCATTTTATGTAACTATCGTGAAGGCATGTCCGTTATTAGGCTGAGTCATAATTGTTAATTTATTAGTCATTTCAGAAAAAATATACATTTTATCAATAGGATTATTAGCATCTTTTAACCTAGGCATATAATTTTGAGTATGTTACTGATATTTTTAATCCTATCTTTTTCAAAAATTTCATTTACTTGAGTCATATATTTAAACATAGAAATTCAGAAATTTTATTTTTTCTATTACGATCACTAGTTCTGGGAGTATTTTTAAACAATTTACTGCTATAATTAATATTATTAGCCTAATTGGCAGATACAACAGTAGGCGAATCGGGGGGACTAAAACTGTGTTTGTGATAGTAGGAGGCTTGCTTTTGGCCATTTCTGCATAAGAGAGATGCTTGGTTTAACAGAACTAGTGTTTTACTTTGGCTGGGTTTATTTTTAGGGAATTTAGCACACTCACGATAAGAAGCAACTTGAGATTCCCGGCAGTTACTGCTCTTGGGATTTTCAATCTTTACCTTTTGAAGACAGTTCATTGTTTTGTGGGGAAGAAAGCATTTCACACATCGAGGCTGGAAATAACAATTGTCCGAAGGAATGGTGCCTACGTTGGCAACAGTCGTTGTATTCACCTGCAGTCTTTTTAAGGCAAGCCAGGGGGGTGCTGTACACCCATCTATTAGCTCGATCATTTCTCGTTGCGTAACATCACAAATTTTTTTCTCTCTCGTATCATACAGTAAAATCAAAGTTACATTTGAAACTCATTGACTGTTTATTCATCATTCATTTTCCGAATTTGAAAATGACTGATTATTTAAACCAGTCGTTGCAAAACCTGATAGAGGAAATTTTTAGACTCGTCATCTCTTTTTCATTTGAACGTATTAATCCTGTTGCGTTTCGTTCGATCGTAATTATTTTTCCCTTCTTTGCTTCTTTATATCCCCAATTCTGTTTTTATGGCTTAGAAAGTTTCCCGAAAAATTGCGCTTATGTAAATCGTGTCAAAAAAATAATAGTCTGTATAAAAAACATTGGTTTTAGTTTTGAACGTCCAGTGTGAAAAAATTATACCATTTGCAAGCAAATCATAGCAAAATCTTTAAGAAGATCTTTGAATAAATTAATTATTTGATTTCGCTTTTTACTTTATAAACTTTACAACATATATGACGGACAAAACAAATTATACTTCATGAAATAAATAGTATATCACTAAAATAAACATACATGAAAATATGACTTATTTGCACAAGCATGTTTTCAGTAATTTTCCATAAATGCATTCAAATATTATTTAACCCATTTTTAACATTCCCATTATAATCAATTGAAGTTTATTTTCTTAAAGTGGTCTAGATTGATGGAAATCAAGTAATAAATAAAAGAATATGTTTAATAAAATTCAAAAACCTGTTATGAATTTGTACAGTTTTCATTTTTAGGTTTTAAGGTTCAAAATATGAAACTTTTAAAAATGAAACTCCTTCAAAACTATTTTGACTGTACATTTAGTTCTTCCACACTTGTCTTTTTTTTTCTTTGGTAAGAGTAATTTCAAAAATTAAAATAAAATGAAGTTTCTTAAAAGAATCTTTAGGAAATAAAAAAATAAATAAATCTTCAAAATAAATCGTGTCAAAAAAAAACATCAGTATTTGTTTCCGAACTGTATTAGATCAAAATCGTATAAACGGATACTAGAGTATTTGTTTGTTTAATAATAATAATTTTGATATACCTTTTACAGCCTTTTCTCTTTCGATTCTAGTTTCTGTTTGAAGCAATATAGTGCAACAAATTCATCATATTTTATTGCTTAAAAACTGTAAATTTTGCTTAAAACTTAATCATTGATAGCTTTAAAAGTTAATTAGAGCAATCTGAAATAAATAAGTATTGTATATTTTACTAAAACTAAGCTACATTATTACTTATAACTTAAGTAGCAAAGTACATAAAATCATTGGTCCACATAAATATACAGTTTAGATCTCACAAAACTATTTCTGCATAAATATCATAGATTCGCAATTTTTATGCAAACATGGTGTTGATAAAAGCTTAAACTAAATTGTTTCTCGTATTGGATGCTAATATTGCATAAATGTTTTGGTTAGCAGTATTTTTTTATGTTACAAAAATATATTTAACTTATCCTTAATTTTTTAGTTCCTCCTCAACTCTCGGTAAAGGTGGACAAGCAGATTCCTTTGTTAGAAGGCACTCATGTCACCATGACTTGTGTTGTCGATGCAAATCCTCCTATAGTGGAATTAGAGTGGCTAAAGGATGGACAGTCACTGGGTGCTCCTGCAAGGCGTGACACTCGAAACAGAACTTTCAGCATCACATCTGCTGGACCAGAACATCGAGGTCATTACCAGTGTGCTGGAATCAATAGCGAAGGACGAGACATTAGCAAAGCAGAGCATCTTAAAATCCATTGTATGTCTCTTTATATCATATCTTATTTTATTAATAACATGAATGAATTCCTATCCTGATAGCAAATACGTTACCGATAAGAATACAGTTAATGCTGATTGTCAAATATTTCATGAAGTAGTTCAAAAAAGCTTCGGAAACATTGCTAACGGTAAAATTACTTTCATTATATTTCCTATTAAAGAGTTAATTTTGGCAGGTCTACTTTTGCTTTTTAACATTTATGTGTCCGTTAAAAGATCCACCCTGAAAACAATACCGTAATTTTATCCATCACGATGAAAATTATAGATTTTCTGAGTCTGTCTTTCTATGTGCATTTTGTTATTAGAGAGCAAAAGTCAGCAAAATTGATTGTGGTGAATATAGGCATAAAATTATTAGTAGAATATGTAAAATACCCTACTTTTGTCCTATTCCATATTACCAGCTATTTCTCAACGAAGCTTCTCGAAGAAAATAATTTCGAATTCCAATATAGCTGCACTTATATAACAGAAATTAACTGCTACTCCTGTTTCTGGAAAGTAAATGACTTGGACATTTTACCAAGCTTTCTGAAACCAGGAAATGGTCTGTGGTGTTTTGTCATAAACGTTTTCAACTCCTTATAATGCCACCTTTTGTTAATTCTTACAACTTGACGGCAGATTTAGAGAATTTTTGAATCCACCTTGCATTAAGATCTTAATCAATAAAATACTTATTTAAAATGATAGCTGCCAATTTTCTTCCACTTTCAAACCACAATTTTTGTTATCACTTACGTGTTTAAAATCTGAACTTCGCTTTGATTGCCACAGAGCATAAACAGCATTCCTTAGAGAACATTAAATTCTAGAAGGGCTTTCTAACTTGAGTTTGAAGTTGTCATTCTAAATGCACTTAGCTCTTTCATTTGGTGTCAGCTCTAAATTAAGGATAAATTTGCTAGTTATTGATCCTTTCCTTAATCAAAACTAAACGTCCATTCCCTTTTCTCGCTAACTCCCATGGGGCTGTATTATAAATTTCATGTGTGCATTTAAATAAGGTTTCGATAACCCCCACAGGTACTTTGTTTAATCCTCATGTCTGGACACTAATTGCATATTATTTTATCAGACTTCTTTAAGAAAATTGTGTCTTGGTCTTAAGATCGATTATAGCAATATTTCTTAAGGTGTTTATACATTATTACACCTCTAAAGGACTGTATTATTTTCACTCAATATATAAAAACCTGGCCCGGAAAAACTGAGGGCTTTGAATACCAGAAAGAATCTAAAAGTAGCCATTGGCCTTTGCATGAAACGTGAGACCTTTCATTTATCGATAATGCGCCTTCGTACATAGTAGGTTCTTAGAGCATTCCTATGTGCCAAAGCTTAATATCTTAACTTTATAATCAATCTGTTACGTGTAAATAAACACAATGCTTTAAAAGCAATATACTCTGCTCTTTTTACTTTTTTAATAATATATCCAACTGATGTGAATTAAAATACATTTAATTTACAGTGTAGCCAATTAGTAATTTTTTATAAATATTTGCAATTTTTGCTGATTATAAAAAATGTTTCTAACATAATATGTTACATTAGTGGCAGAAAATTCATTTTTTTATTTTTACATTGTTTTGTATTTTTTGATATTTTAAAAGCAGTTGTGAACTTCTAATTCTTCGAAGAAGCATTTAAAATTAACTGTTGTAATTTTAAATTCTTCTTTCGGGTATCAGAATACAATGTGAAATCTCCAGTTTGCAATTTTCTTGATTGAATGTTTTCTCTAAAATCAGTTTTTAAATGTAAAAACATTCACAATTACGTAGCATTTGAAAATTTTGGCAAAATATACTTGAATAATCTCTTTTTCAGTTATAATAGAATGTCGCAATTGGGACCAGAAAAAATCAATTTATATATGAAAACCATGTTTTCTAAATGATCGCCTGTAAAACAACCTATTAAAATAATATTTATCAGTAGAGAAGTGCGTTCTATTTTAATCTGTTTATTTGTAGTATTTGAAAAATGGAAAATGAACATTTATTCATTTGCTCATTTTCTGAACTAAATTATAAGAACAATGGTATTTAAACTAGAAACTATAATTTTTAAATTTAACTTGTTTAAAATATGTCTAAATTAAATTTTTAAAAATTGAAAAATTTCTATATTTAATTGCTTTTCAAATGGTAGCTCATAATTTTGGTTTACTGGAATTTTTGAAATGCTTTTTCACTATATAATGCAATTAATTCTATTTTCTGTGCTCTCATTAAAATTAATCCCTGTTAGTTAATAATAATATTTCAGAGATATATGCAGTAAATGTGTCTTTGAAACTAGGCTGCCTTTTTTGCCTCTCTCTCTCTTTGCTAATTTTTGTCATTAAGAGCATTATCAAAGTATAAGCTCAATAAAGTGTAACCGAAAACGTTTTTTAGCCCAAAGGGCGTTAGCCCAGAAGGGCTTTTAATTTCGTTTTGACATTTTGCGTTCAAAACTTTAAATGTCGTTTCACTTTTCAAAATGTTGCCACCAAATATTTTCGCCCTATGTTATATTTAAAGAAATTAAATAAGGAAGAATCTGCATAAATGTATTTATGCTTCTCGCGTTGTGATAAAACAACGGTACCTAGAGCCATTCAATTTTGAATAACGTAATCTTCCACCGAATATGGGCATCTGGAAGACCTAATTTGGAATTTGAAGTTTTTTTATTATTAGTTTCATATTTTGTAACACTTAAACGAATTTTCGATTAACAAACACAATGATTTTAAAGCGAGCAATGGCAGAACTGAGCAGAAAAAAAAAACATTTTCATCTCCAGCGCGCGAGACTGTGTATCGGAAATTCTAGAGATATGCTCATTTTAAAATTATTTTGCGATATTGCTGTAAAATTAAATTTTGTGCAAAGAACATTTTATAAATAAAGGTTAAAAAAGGCTAAAAAATTCCCTTTGGGCATAATGTAAAATCTGAAAGCTTTCCGATTTTTTTTTTTTTTAATTTTATTTTCAGTTGAAGAGTTTCATGATTTGGAAATTTACGTATAAAATTTTGCATTAATTTAAAAACTCTCCCTTTTTGCAATAACGAGGTTTTCCGATTGTGTAATGTAATCATGTCATCTTTTAATTTTGAAAATCGGTAAGTTTAATGTAAATGAATTCTTTTGCTACATACCTTGGAGTATGAAATTTTCAAACTATCAGAATTTGAGATAAAGTCATTAGTTTTATTCCTTATTTACAACATTGACAATCCAACAGAAATTTCGCCATCGGAAAAATTAAAACTATAAGAAATAAGCTCATAGGTTAAAGAGTAATAGTTAAAATACAAATTGCCGCTAAAAACTTTTAGACACTCTACTGAAACTAATACCACTAAAATTTATCTGCGACTTTCAGGAAGACAAGCAAAGACTCATTTTTATATAGAAATTTCTGTCCCATCTTTGAAAATCTAAAATATAATTTTAAAATTTCTTCCCTTAAAGGAAAATGTATTTGCTCAAGCTCAATTCTAAACAGTTTAACTAAAAGACACAGTGTAAACTAAAAGACACAGTGTAAAGTAACACAACGAGGCGGATGCGAGCATATGAGGAAAGGTACTTTATTAACTGTGTAGGATATTTCTCCCACCTTCTTAGCATGCCTTCGTAGTGTAGTGATCAGCACGCTCGACGCGTATTCGAGAAGTCTGTGGTTCGAGTCCCGACAGGACATTGTTCATTTTTCAAAGATCCTGCTTCCAAAAAAATCCTAATGTAATTACAGCTGTATATTTTTAACTGTCATCAGTTTCTCCTTTTATCTTATAGTTTATATGCTTATGGGATTATCTGTGAGATTTTAAAAAATGATAAAGGAAGGAATATAACATATAATTTGTATGGGCATTTTCCTTTCTTTTTCATATATAACTCGAATTTGAGCCATTTCTCTCAGGAAGTACTCCAAGAAAGCATTCTTCTCCCTCAGCAAATTGTCGTAGTATAATTTGTCAAAATAAAGTAATGAAATATTCCAATTTAATAACAAGTTAAAAGTTTATTTAAAGTTTAACTTTGTTACACTAAGCAAGCTTAAGTTAATTTTGTTAAACTAAACCTTGCAAAATTAAGTTTGTTATTTAATAAAACTTTTCAAGATTGCTTGAAAAACGAAAATCTTCGATGGTAGCTTTTTAATTATTTGCATTAATTATTTTTTTAATATTTATTTTCAAGTCTGCTCTTTCAGGTGGGAATAAATCCTCAGATGAAATAAGCAATGGTCCGCTCCCTAATCATAAATGTCCAGGAACGATCATTAGATTTGTTTCCTCTTTGCACATTGCCTTTACAATATTTTGCTTTGTAATTTCTACCTTCATCATAATCTTTAGAAACAAAAGTAAAAAAGCAAGTAAATCGTTATTTAATGTAATTAAATTTATATAAATGCATTCCATATGGGATGACTATAAAAAGTTGTGTTCTTTCAGATAATTACTGCTATATTACGCATGTAAAAGTTAAATGAAATAAATGGCTTTATTCTTTAGCAAATTTTGAACCATGCGTTCCTGTTGGGGCTTTGTCTCTATTCACTCATTTAAATCTAATAAAATATATCAATAAAATGACGATTTTGACAATTATCTTATTAATTATGCAGCAAGTAATTATGAAAGTCTTAAATCGCAGAAATAAATGCTACGTAAGTACACATGTGCTTTTATTAAATCATTAAGAAAACTATATTTGAATTTACAAGCAACTGTGAAGTTACACAGTTATGAAAACCTAACAAAAAATTGTGACAACTGGAAGTGTAATCGAGAGAATCAAGCTCAAATTCGGCTTTGAAATAATATTCATGCAAATTTGAAATCCTGTTAAAAAAGTGGGTATTCCAAGAAAATTAAAACTTAATGAAAGTACGATTTACAATAACTGTTGACTAAGCTTTTAGATTAGAAATTTCTAGATCGAAGACACTTTTATTTTTACATGT